ATAATTATTTTGTTTTTTTTTTCTGTTCCAGGGTTGTTTTTTGTGAAGACAGTATTAAGTTTTGATTTTGGAATGCGGCCAGCAATAAATATGCTCCTACTTTTTTTGTTATTCTGATGTTGATATAATTCAATGAGTATCAAGGTAAGTAGGTTTTTCAAGAAGAAAATATAATACAAATATGTTATTCCTGCTAAATAGACGTGAACTACATGTAAATGAATTTCAATAATTACAGAGAAAGACTTTTGGTTTCTCGATACCTGTATTATATCTCAAACGTCTTTTCATGATTCAGTTTTATCTATATCTATTTAAAGAGCTTTGTCTCTCAGAGACCACATCGCCCAGTGCCGTCAAAATCACATTAGCTACTCAATTATGATCTAATATGACCTGAGTGAATAGATTGATTGCTTATGGGATGACGTGCTCCATGGTAGCCTGCATCATCGCTTATCATCAGGTGAGATAGCGGTCAAACGTCGGCCCATCAAATATATATAAAAAAAAATATATAACATTTTTGCCCTATCATAAACAAGCAAGGATGTCGTTCAGTAGATCATAAAATATTATTTAAGAAAATTTCCTTGTTAAGTTGATTACATCACAAATTAATCATGACATTCATTAACTAGACTTCATAATTATAGTATTCCATATAATATATTTGGGTTTGTATACCCCAATGTTTTTCTCTACCCTTTCCAAATTTTATCAACATAACTTACCTCTGAAATTATGACACGATTCCTGTAATATATGAATCTGTAATTACAGGTCTGTATTACAGAATTAAGTATATCATATATAACATGATAACGTATCGCATTAGTACAATATATAGGTCACTGCGCCGCCATAAATATGGGCAATCAACTGTGTTTGTGTGCGATTCCAATCTTTGGAAACTATTTTGTTTTTACTATTATTTTGTATGTGTTTAAATTTGTCAGAGTCATTAAAATAATAAATCGATTGGGGTTTAGTTATTGACATATAGATTGTGCATAATTGAATCAATTGATTTATGATTGTGATATAAAATAAAAAATAAAACCTATATGGTTTCTGACAACCTCCTTGACAAAAAGAATCTACAAATCAATAAAAAATTGTGTGACTATTCCTCTGTCTTACGATAATCTGGTACTTATTTTTGATGGTATAGTATATCATGCTAACGATACGTATTTTCCTCGAAAAAGCCTTCACTGCCAATGTTTGTTAACGCTAACACTAGCTTCGTTAGTATCTACCTTACATCAGTACAATTACTCGGCACATAGACCAAAACTAAACTAATTGACTCTTCAAACACAAAAGTATAACATAACAAGCGCACCCTAATAAGAAAAGAAAAATCGAATCTTAAAATGAACGTGATAAAGCACACAATTAATCCACACATATGTGCCAATACTCTATTTAAAATCACAGGTCTACGCTTAACATATTACCTCGTTCAGTGTGAAAAATCTATTTTAATTTGAGTGAAATCGAGTGCATAACTGAACCAACGAGAATCGAATCAAGAATACGATTGAATCGATTTGTACAGTTCATTTGATATATCATTGGTTTAGAGGTCACGAGAGCACTATGTGTAAAATACCTATTGACATTTAGGTTCTCTCTTTGTCTGAGATAGGTATAAGGGAGGCTAAGTGGCTTTTAAGGTTATGTCGGAAATGGGGTGTTTGGAATTGAACCTTAGATGTGTGAGGTTATAGTTGCTTTATCAGTAACCTAGCTTGGCAGCCTATGTAGACTATTTAAGGAAGAAGAATATTTTTATGCAGTCTGGCATTGGGTTCTGGGTCCTGTAGCTTTCAGAGCACCACAGATGGGACCTAGTAGCGCTGATGCCCAATGCGCAACTGCAGAATACTTAACGGGTTACCGGGTCTCCGGCTCGAAGAGCAGGAGTGGGAGCGGGATGTTGTATAGTTAGTAAGAGCCTGACCTATACTCCGACGACCCAAGTAGGCTATCATATGAGTTATTAACTATAATATAACTGGTGCATAGTGTGTTTATACATATTTTCACATGAACACTTCTAACCTGTGTTTGGAGGTTAAAAATACACTAGACTCCAATCAAATTACACTGCTTCTTCACAGTACGAAGCTAACTATTTTTGTAATATATAACTTACTTAAGTAAGTACTTGGTATTTCAAGGTGGCTGAATTTTTAGTATACATTGTAAGTGTACTTGGAAAGTCTAAGAGCTTACTAAAAGCTCTTTAATGGATCTTTGTTTTCAATCCTGAGGTCCAAATGAATATTTAATAAATTACTTTGTTATCAACATTTGCGTTGTAATCTAGGTTTTTATTATTGTACGTGTTATGTAAGATAATGTTGTGGAAAGTTTGAAATATGTGTGTTTGAATCTTAAATGGTAGACGTAAGGATCAGGGTAAGAACTGTGCCGTTGCATTTAACTATGAGGAGTTTAAGCTAGCAAGTAATCATCATTTTAAACATTAAACAATAGTTATAGGAATATCTACATCTACAACTACACAAAAAAGATCAATTTCATAAATAAAACAACATTAACAACGCATCTCTTTTCAAGAAGCTTGGCACATTCGATCATGGATGGTGCGGTGGCTGGGCAACCGGCTGTCGCGCAACGTGTAGCGAGTTCGACGCCTGCACGGAACAACTTTTTATGTAATCCACAGATTATTGTTCCGTTTCGGGGTATCATTGTGTTTGTAAACGCACGCACGACACAAGAGAAAATCCTAATGTGGGGCAAAGCTACCGCTTTAAAAAAAACTTATATTAACTTAATATGGTAATATTACTTGCATCCATAAACGCAGATCACACCAAAGAAATCATTAAACTAATAAACTACCAAAAGCAATGAACCACTTTCTTAAACTACACGTCTTTTAAAATAGCCGGAAATGTATCTACATAAATTATAGACGACGACGGTGTGTGTTTAACAGTAAATATTAATTATCTCAAGTAAATGAACCTTCAATCAACTACTGTTTAGTTAATTGATTAGTTCTGGTTATAATAATCATAACTGTTTGTTTAAGCTCAGTTTCAAATGATATATGGTCAATTGGATTTAATATAAACATTGGTTCATGTTTTCTATCATATCATACTTCTATTATTTTGATACGAATTATTTCTATTTTAATTTTTTTTTATTACAACGAGCAGACTGATGAACTGATGGTAAGCCATCGGCGCCGCCCATGGACACCTGGAGCACCAGAGGTGTTACAAGTTTGTTGCCGGTGTTTGGGTGTCAAATTCCTAAGAATTTGAGGATTGTTGCGGATCTGCGGATTGGGGAGATTGAGGTAATTGAGTCTCCAGTAACTTCACTCACACGAACAAAGAACGAAAGCGATCTTTACGTCGGTTTTCTGTGAGGTTGAGGTATCACTCCGGTCGAGCCGACCCATTCATGCCGAAGCATGTTTCTCGCACAGATAGACAATAACAACCGAATTATGGATCTTTATTACATAAATGGTATTACCGCCAATAAATACACATTGCGCTGGTCGATGTTTAAAAAGGTTCAAGCTTTCATTTTATAAGACCAATCATTTAAAAACTACGTCCGAAACAAAACACGAATACAATCGACAGTTTTTATCAAAATAGTTTCCATATTAATTGACTGCATAAGTACCTTCATAGCTTCGTACTACCAATTAGACCACAAGTAATAGGCATCTACACTATGTGCCCCAAATAGGAGATAATATCGTAGTAATTAAGCATTGATTATAATTGGTGCAGTGAAGCAGTTCTGATCATTATCGCTAAAAATCATCGGTTACTGACACCCACGCTGGTATTTGATTGATTGCACGGCATAATATTGAAATTCTGGGCTCAGAACTTTGGATAAATTGATGAGATGCAGATGTGAGGTTTCGAAAGCTACTTTATTTATTCGTCAATAAATAGTTTATTTAGCAATTAACATAATTACGTTTTAAGTGTAAATTTAGTAGTATTTCGAGCAAAATTTACTAAACATCTTTGTTATTGTGTGAAAAACGTGTCATATAATACGATAGTAGCATCATCTGTTTTATATTAGAACCTTATTTTATCGCATGCTGACATATTCAAGGTCAATATTTATTCATTCCTGTTTTTTGCTTAATAGCCTCAAGGAAGAAAAGCTAGCGATACGTAAGATGCTAACATTAAAACTAAAGAATTCCTACTTAACACCTCCATGTAGATAATCATGTTACCGACCACCAAGACCATAAAACCTTATCTATACTAGCGCAATAACATGTAAGTAGCACAAATATTCATGTCCAAACAATAACTCAACGGAAGACACAAGACGCTATCAATGTTTCTTTCAAACATTTTTGTCAACGACAAATAAATTCTGACTAGTAGACACGGCTTCAGATCAAGCTATGCTCAACCAATATAAACTGACCGTTGATTTTGAAGAAAGATCGTAGAAAGGGAGATCAAGTTTATCTGGTTTGTATAGCTTGAATTATAGTCGTGTATCGTTCTTCTAACTCTTATGTCCAAAACCCGTTCCTTTCCATACCCTACATTTAGATTTCGTGAACTCCACATAATTAAAAAGCGAGCACCTAATCGACATTATTGGAAGGTCGATGTGAGAACTAATGAAATGTAACTATTTCTGTGCATTTAAAACATTCGTTAATGCTTTTTTTATTTTCATTAATGTTTATTTCTGTTGGTGAATGTTTGTTTATTGGTTTATTTCTCATGTGAACTGGTTTGTGCTATTTTGGACCATGTGGCGTATAGAAGGTGGATAATTGGTATGATGTTTTTTGCTGTAATTGACCTATGCATCTTAATTTCTACGCAAATCACAATATTTTTCCTCTATTATAATAAAAAAGTTTTAAATTAAAGTATTACACGCTCCTTAAATCCTGTTAATCAAATGTAGTCCTTTATCCTTTAAACATAACGACACAATTCATAACTCACCTGGTTTATCAAGGTCACTCAAAAACTCCTCAGTGTCCGTGTACGCGGTGGTCCTTCCTAAGGCCGCGAGGACCGCAAGCCAGGCCCACGCGGCACATTTGAGCCTTGGCCTTCTCATGGCCTTGGATGGCCTGTATGGGCCTCACTCTGACATCACGCACTACACTGCACTACACTACACTCACACTTTACACTAAGTCGCAGGGTTACCTGGAAAAAAGAAATAAAATATTAATAATGTAATATTATTATGGTACAAAAATCACATAGATTTTCCAGAAACTAGTATTATTAAGATCATCAATTCGCAGACACAAATTAATTTTTGCTCTTAGTAAACCATAATATGTTCTTTTTTTTTTGATGAGGGAAATCGATCCAATCACCGGTGCCTGGGGTGAGGCTAGAGGGAGTATCAAACTCTTACTGACTAAAAACCACCTCGTTCCTACTTCTGCTCAACGGGCTGGAGCCCCGACAACCCAATAAGTTCTTCGCGGCTCCGTATTGGCATTGGTCCTACTGGGCCCCATCTGTGGTGGTCTGATGGCTCGTAGAGGCACGCGGGGAACACGATGTGTCCGCGTCGTGCTCGTCGTCTACAGGCCCGTGCTTACGGTAGCCGGAGATCGCGTCTTAGTAACCCTATTTTAATCTAATTGATTTTAAGACATCGTTAAAAGTTATGAAACGAAGAAGTTCTATATCTCTACTTCTATCTTTGTTTCACTATAGTTTAAGATTAAATACCTATTTTTTGGCATAAAATCCTGAATCCCAAAACACCTACATTTTCAAGGCCAACAAAATAGAGAGCTAATTCTTGGAATCAATTATTCGGCCACCAGAACTGCGTTGTGGCCTTAAAACACCCAAACATTGTTAGTTAATAGAAAACAACAAATAATTTATTAGTTCACTGTTAAAAACACACACATACAATAGTTTTTTTATTTGTCCGTCGTGAAATTGGTAGGCCTGCCCTGTAATTGATTTGATTACTGAAACAGCTGAACTGAACACGCACATGTTTTGTTTTCAATAATAAATAAGTAAATCGGTAAAGTGTTGTAGGAACTTTGTATTTACGTAGGTGTATATAACAGCTCACCACTTTTTTACCTGATGAAAACTAAGGTTGATTAATTTTAGTGGCACAAGATACTATGTATACTACTGATGCCAAAAATAATTGAGCCTCCATTTCCTTCTATAAAGTAGGAGCATAATATGGTCAAATTACTTATGTATTTGTGTGTGTGGTTGACAAACACCAAATCACTAGCTACAAATTTTCATAAAACTATATAAATACTGCAAAGTATTACTGTGTTGTGTAGTAGCACGGAGTTTGGAAATGTGCCCGGTATACCTATGGCAATAGGGTCACCCCCTATTACATGAGACTCATAACATAAATAGTGAAAAGTGGGTGTTACATTGTACAGTGGCATTAAGTGCCGAAATGTGCACCTCTGCCTACCCCTTCGAGGATAAAAGGCGTGATGTTATGTTATATTATGCTATATAAATACTTGGGTAGTTCATCAAGTTTTCACAACTGTAGGAAGATTTCCAGAATTACACAAATCTTTTTCCTGGAAAATTTCGAGAACATAATTCCCTCCCTATCTCTCGTAATAAGGTTAAACTTACAATAACTTATATAACAGTTATCGTTAAAAATGAGTCGGAACTATTTCCTGAGGCCTTTGTATTTCCAGTTGGGGTCCTCTGAAAGAAAGTCCTTCCCTCTGAAGATGTGATATGTTGACGTGTAATTGTCAGATAACAGTAGATGGCAATACTATCGAATATTTGTCATTTCTTGAAGCGTTTTCAAGTGAGTTGATTGTGATGGTGTAATTTTGCTATAAAAACTACGAGTGACAATTTAAAATAGGTCGTAATCATCAGGCAGATGGTCGTACCATTGAAGTATATAAAAAACTACTTTAAGTTTTAGGTAAATAACACTTATATTTTAAGGTCAATTGCTATACAAAGTCGTTCTTCTAAAGACCTATAAAATCCTTTACACAGACAACAGATTTAAATACAACAAAGCAAAGTTACATAATATTAGCACCAGCATCAAACATGCAAAATGCAAATATTCTCCAACGGACCCTAAAATAAAGCCGTTACAACGTAGGGTTGTCTACACCATTTGTATTCTCAGCCACACTTCCAGGGTTACCAACCACGTTATGACGTTTGGATATTACACTTTCAACAAAGATGGAAATATAAAAAGTGTAATCTGAATTTAGAACTATCTTCAAATTAAATTGCATCTTTCATTCTAGAAAATATTGGTTTGAAGAGTCCAATTAGTAGACTCCCCTTTTTTGTTATATGTTTAGGTAGCTGCCATTACTAAACCCACCACCGGTGCCGCAACTATCGGTCACAATTTTTCATAGTACATTTGTCTGAAGTATTTCGCAAGTTATTGACTGAGAGGAAATTGGTCTTGAAAATACTAATTTAATAGTATGGCTGGTTGGAAATATCTCAAGAACTTGTATATATAACACTAAATAAAGAGCTGGTATTTTTACATGAATCAACTCATGCAATGTAGTGTACGGGCATATTTTTTTTTTGAATCTGCACAATAGCAAATGAAGTCGGTAGTCCCTATGTTGAGATGGGTACATGTACCCTTGTCATTTGTAGCCTCCTAGTCTCTCAGGGTCCGTTTTTTTAGGGAACTAATGAGTGTCGGTCAGTGTCCATACACTCCGTACTAAAACACCATTTCTAAATTACCAAATGGTCTAGACAAGTTGACGGAGTACTTTTTGCAAATTGAACTTTCAGGTTTTTTTTTTTGTTAAAAACAGGAACAGGACGACCGTTGGATTTATGTCCTAGTACCTAACTCACGACTTCTGTCAGGTTCCGTTGAGAATGTAGCCCTTTTCAATTTACTCAAAGTGATTCTTTGGAAGTCTTTTTTCTTGTACATTATTTAGTCTTGTCTATTGTTAGAGAAAATGGGAATCACGTGTCGAGTTCAAAGGTGAACGTATGAGAGACAATCAGTCCAAATAGGTTTCTTTTGAATAAATGGATGCTAACGTTACTAATGCAAGTATTTTATAAGTTAATCAAATCAGATGATTAACTTAGAAAATGTCGTTGCCATTAACAAATCTAATACTAGCATAAGCAGGACAAGGTGAGATTTTCATTATGTCCCATGGCATAGAAATTAATACAAGCATCTTTCCAGTTCAGATTTCTAGTTTAAGAAACGTTTATAGAAACCACCATTAATTGTAATCTTAATGAGAAATAAAAATGTTAATAGTAAAACTCACAGAAATCCACTCTCGAGCTCACCTCGATTATATTATTTACTCATTTATATGCTACTTATCAAATAACATTCATACTGCCTAATAAAAAGATAACATTAAAAGAAATGCGACTTTCAAAGTCTAATATTGAATTTTCATATTCCATTCCCACGACTCAAGCATGACAAAGTAATTTAATATCACCTTAATAAACTCTTAACATAGGTAAGTGATATTTAAAATTTAAAACAGTCACTAAAGAAACGGAATAATATTAGCTGACATTAAAATGAGGTGCAAAAAGTTCATTCTTATTCAGGGCTCGGTTTGCGAGCGAATTTTCCGCGGAACTGCCGAACGTGGATGTTTTACACTGATAGATAGGCCAACCTTTGTTTAGGCTTTGCTATGCTGCTATAGGACAAAGGTCTTTCAACGTAAGGTCATCGATGGGTGTCAAATGACAAGTCCTTTACTTATTTCTTTATAAGATAAAATAAAATTGCATTCTTGTAGTCTACCTCCTGTAATTAAGTGCCTAGTCAGTGTTTTAATGGATTTTTCTTTAAGGGGGATAATCATCGAATGGACTATTCGCGCCTGGATGACCGTTTCTACCCAGTTCCTACTTCTGCACTTTGAGCCGGAGCTCCGGCAACCCGTTAAGTTATTCGCGGCTTCGTATCGGCATCAGCTCTATTAGCCCTTGTTTATCATTATTTTAATAGAGAGTAGCAGGTTTATGACCAAGAATAGAAAGCAATATTAGACTATGAATAATTCCTAAGCATTCCAAAACTTTTAGTACCAAAATATTAAAAACAAATACTGCTTTGAAGTATGAACGTCTTTGAAATACCATCACCAAATGCCAAAAAAAACATTTAAGTACGCTTCACTTGACCACTTACTTCACAAACAAAAAACGTAACACTTTTCTCCAAACAACTTCACATTTAACACAAACAAAATGAAAGGGTAATTTGCTAGAAGCACGATAAATATTGAAAAGCAACACAAAACATCATTATTAAAACATTTTAAACTCATTCAATATTCATTAAGTAATAAAAAATCGCTTACTCACAGCCCTGGCATCGCGCAACATTGGCACAACCCTTACAAAGCCGCATACATATTAATTTAACAGCCTTTTAAATGATTTAGTGCGCTATATTTTCACTTAAATTAAGGGTTTCATACTAAAATGTTTGGAACTCAGCATAATCGTAACCTATTGTAAAATTAAGCCAACATAAGCTAAATCATTTTTATTGCGCAGTCCGACTCAATTTTACGTACAATAAACTTTTGATTCAAAATGAGTTACTTGTTATAACAGTATTGCGTTCACCTCAAACATACATAATAGTTCTCGTAAAAACATATTTTAGGATACCTGGTTTAGGAAAATGGGTACAATATTATGTGGTTTACGATATAAGTAAGTATGGAAATATGAGCTTTCTTTCAACAGTTGTAAGAATTGGTTTTGTGAATCAAGTTTAATGTAGCTGAAACCTATTTATCGGCAACTAGGTCGGGTATAGTAATTACCTGGTTCAGTTCATATTTAAGAATATCACAATTCTCAATATTCCTGTCTTTAGCAGCATTCGTTGATATTTGTGAGTATTATTCGTCATTTAACACCAGAAAAGCTAAACGGTGGCTATTGTTGATTAATTTTTACAGCGTAGCTAAAGTATTTTGAGCTGCGGAAGACGTAACGGGTTGCCGGGGCTTCGGATCAAAGTGCAGGAGGACGGGGTGGTTTTGAGTCAGTAAGAGTTTGACAGAAGTGTCAGACACTTACTGACTAAAACCCAGTGTCTCGCCTCACCCGGGCGGGAAAAGTCGTTGGATGAGTTTCCCCCTTCAAAAAAACAGAGGGGCTCTTCT